ATACCTGACAGCTGTTCTGAGACTGACATCATCTTGTGTTGCTATGTCAGAGGCCTTGCAACGTGGATCCTGTTCAACATTCCTTTCGGCAAGATGCATGGTTCTTTCAGAGGGCCCAGGGTAGCCTGGATGAGGTTTTGTGCACTTTTTGCCCTCTCTGGTGAAATGTACGATCACTCTATTAACAGTAGAAAGGGGTATTGAAAGGTTTTCAGATATTTTTCTTTGACTAAGACCACCTTCATGTTGGCCCACGATACGTCCTCGCTGAAATTCAGATAGGTCTGATGCTCCTTTGGTTCGTGGCATGTTCCAGTATTGTTATCTGCAATTTTAATCAAATAATCTAAGTTAATTTATCTTGGTTATTAAAAAAAATCAGAAATAAAATTTATCGTGGTGTCTATTCAATTCTGTCATATCTGTGTATATTAATAATAAAATAATGAAAATATTTTTCCTAATGAATTTTATTATTATTGTGACCCAAAAACATGTACCCAGGTGTGAAACGGTCAAGAACTATGTAGTGACAATAAAACGAGGCAAGGCTGATAGGCTTTGTTGGCTGGTAAAGACGGACAATTCCTGTAAACCTTGCTTGTTGACAAAATTGTCAGGTGACATATATATTCAAAACATAATTTAGTTTTAGTTGAAGCGGATGTTGGGACTAAATCCCTGTTACGAATAATAATTTGTTAAGCAAATAGTTGTTGGCAAGGGTGGTAATGTTTTGACTAACTTTTAGCGGATTTGACTCTGAGGTCTTTCCTCAGAAAATCTCTAGGCCCTGGGAACTCAAAATTCACGAGAGTGAATTGATTAATATTCCTACGTAATAATGGATTGACCAATCAGAGAGATTGGGAGGGTGAAGCAATGGGTGCTGATTGGTGGGGACAGAACCCACCATCCACCCGACCTACTCACTTACCCCTGTATAAAAAGCCCGGAGAAGCCGAAAATAATCAGTCTGAACAGAATCTCCCAACTGCATTTTGACCCCAAGGTCGAGTTGTCAAAAGTTGTCTCCCGGGGCTTACATCTACCACCGGTCCTCTTGCTGTCGTCTGTAGCCGTGATCATAGACTGTATCGTGATGATGATCAACTGACAGTCAGCCAGAATCGCATTGTTAAAAAGGCAATTTTTCCGAGATTCGTTATTTTGCAGCCTTTTATTAAATTCATGACAAGTGAAGTGTGACGTCGCCCCCCCTTGGTCGCAGCGTCGACTCTGTCGTTCGATCTCGTTCGCGGCTCCAAGTGTGACGTTCTAACCCTTTGGTTAGATGATTACCAGCCTCGCCGTCCCCAACTCACTTCCAACGCCTGGTTACTAGGGTAACTGCACTGATCTCCGGTCTGCCTACCCACGTTGTGATTAGATCTTAGACAGACGGGATCAAACAGGGGTTGGGGCCGTATGCCAGCTGGGTTCAACGGGGGTGGTAACACACAAGTAAAAGAAAAACTCACGAGGCCAAAAATTACTGATAAAAAAGGGTAATAACCTTTTATATCTAAATGTTCGTTACATAAAAATTATTCCTACTTCCCGACCCGTTTTGTGGACTGTGGCACCAAGCTTCTACCATACAACTTAAAGACTTCGAGTTGCCTACTCTCTAGAAATTTGCATGTCGGGGTGTGGTTTGGTTTCGACACTGGGCGCTGATCTCTACCAGTCGTTCACGGCTGATTCTTCTCGCCGTCAGTGCGCGAATTGACTTCTTCTCTTCGGCTTGAGTTGGACGAGCTTATTCACTTCGGCTTGAGTTGGACGAATTTCTTCACTTCGATTTGGGTTGGACGAATTTCTATTCTTAGGTTTGGTTTGGACGAATTTATTTACTTCGACTTGTCTTGGACGAATTTCTCTTCATAGGCTTGGTGTGATTCCAACTCCAACTGCAACTTCTTCTCGCCAAGGTCCGAACTCTTCTCTCTGTCGTCCGGGGCTGAACTCTTCTCTCTGCCGTCCGGGGCTGAACTCTTCTCTCTGTCGTCCGGGGCTGAACTCTTCTCTCTGTCGTCCGGGGCTGAACTTTAACTTCTCATCGACTTTCGGGCTGCAGCTCCAACCCTTCTTAGGCTCTCGGGCAATTTTCTTCACTTCGACTTGGGCTGGGCGAATTTCTTCACTCCGGGTTCTCTTGCCCGCAAAGGGGCGAATGAACCGGGCCCGACGCCCGCGTTCAAGCACCCTCGCTGTCCGTGGTCCAGCTGCAACTGATTTCTGTCGATTGGGGTCCTGCTTTTATTGACGCCGTAACAAACTGGGGTGGGTCTGTCGGCGCCAGGGTTTTCTTGATAATTCCAAAAGTCGCATTATTTCTGATTTCCCATTATCGCTCTTACTTTCACTCCTACTTCCTTACAGTGCCTCTGGGGGAGGGGAGGCGCATACCCGTTTCCCCTGGTCTCTCGTATGTCAGGTGACCGCTCTCGAGCGTCTTTCCTCCTCCCTCATGTATCATGTGACTGCCCTCGGCCAATGAGACCCTGGTCGGCATCTTCCCTCCTTCCTTCGTGACGTCTCCAATCGGGCGTGGTCAATCCGGGGCTTTGTTCTGGGGAAGAAATACCTTGTTTAAAAAAACAAAATTTAAATTGTCCTTTTCGTATACGTGGTATTTGTCAAAATAGCCCGCCGCTAATTAGATGTGACTTCAGGAAGAATTTTGCCGCCTTGTCGGTGCCTTCTGCGAGCCAAAACAATTGCTTTCACCTCTTTCTTTCACTCGGGTCTGTTAATAAAATCTTAATTATCTGAATTGAAAATATCTTCCACTCATCATTTTTGGGTGGTCCTTACCTTCAACTCTAGAGCTGGTCAGGATTTGTATACTAATGTTTTTGTTTTCGTATACAATTCCAGCGGTCACTTATCAACTAAATGACACCCTTTTCGTTTGTCACTTATTAATATTTTTTTTCCATTGTTCTTAAAATCTTATTGCTTCAGCCAACATTAACAAACTTCCATCCTACGCGGACACGGAATTAGTTCAAGTGCTTGACCTGATAATTTTGACACTTGATATGTGCCGGTCGAACGTGTGTGTTTTCGCTTACAACCTTGTTTCGTATTATGTTTCTGTCTTTCCTCTTCTTTTCTTTTTTTTTTTGTTTTATTTTATTATCTCTAAACTCTATTTCTTCAACCAAATATAACAATTTCTATTTCCCTGGATTTCGGTCAGGTACTTTGGCCTGGATATCTTTTGACACCTATTTTGCTTATGACCGGGTTTTGTATTATCTATTCCTCTTTCTCTTTCTTTTTATTATTTCTTTTTTTTGTTTTTTGTTTTTTTCTTTCCTTCCTCTTTCTTTCGGATCGCCTAAATACAATTAGAGAATTATTCTCAAAACTCAATTATTCTTCGTCTCTAAATAACTAACAACTGGTTAATAAACCGAATAAAAATTAAATCATATTTCTATGAATATCTCTTTTTAGTTTTTCTAATAATGCAGGGTGCCACAGAAGGAAAACTTAATTTTCCTTCTGACTTGATTATTGTGGCGCCTGATCTTACCAAGGTTTAAGGTGACCCGTTGGGCTGTTGATTCTAAAGGAGTATCATACTTGAACAAGAGTGAATTGCCTTACGGAATCTGGTGACATATTGAAGTAGCGATTTTAACGGGTTATCGTACTCAAAGCTGAAGTACTGTTCTCTCTTATGACTTTGCGAAGTTCTTGATTGATTGTTTCAAGGGAACTTTATACTTTATTTGGATTTTAATAACTTTTTTTTTTCTTTTTTTTTTTTTACTGAACTTTCGCCGGCATGCGACTTGAATTTTACTCACATTTGTTGGACTTTATAATCAATTTTAAGCCGGATTTTCGAACTTCGCTTATTTTCAGTTTTTGCTTTTGTTTCCGAACTCTGTATTATAATCTCTTTTGCTAATACAACATATATACATATATAAAACGACTTACAGAGAGTTGTGTTTTCCTTCCATTTTTGGATCCGAACTGTTGGAAGAGTTCAGTCATTTTCCAGGAAGGACGGAATTTCGCCAACACCCAACCGAGAAGCGAGGGGTGTGATTGGAGTCTTTTGAAACAACGTGGGGGGATTTCGACCACACCCTTAGCTGATTCAACTCTGATTTACCTGTTCTGCTGGGAGAGCGGCAGGGGTTCTACACATACGATCAAGGAAGAATTTTTTTTTTTTTTGTGAACTTTGCGCTTGAGGGGCCTGAGGCCTCTTGGGTTGTGCAGGGAGTGTCCAAGGACTGGGACACACCCCAAAGAACTTTATACCAACCACGTTTTGAGGCTTGGTTGTGTTATATTATATATATATAAACAATGGCTATTACTGCTGCTGATGCAAGACACTTCGTTAAGACGAATCAAGTTCTCCAGTCTCTGGCGTGTTTATCTAAAAGCAAATACGTCTAAATTCACCTTCATTTCTGCTATGCGCCAATGGGGTAGAGTCTCTGAGTCATACTAAATCAGTCGGGTTTCGATCCCAGCTTGAAGCAATCGAATGTCTAGCCACACTGATGAACTGTGAAACAGCGAAACAGTCTATCCGTGGATGACAATATACACATGCGCCTGAAAAAATTATTTTAGTTGAGCTCTCGGTGAAAAAGATTTCTTTGTAAACAGTGACTATTGCTGCTGCTGATTCAAGACACTTCGTTAAGACGAATCGATTTTCCAGTCACTGGCGTGTTTATCTAAAAATAAATACGTCTAAATTCACCTTCACGTGAATCTAGCCACACTGATGAGCTATGAAACAGCGAAACAGTCTGTCTGTGGATGACATTATATATATATATATATATATATGTATATATATATATATACAAAGTGAATATTGAAGTCAACACTCAGGGGCGACAGGTTGTTTCATCCTGGACGCTCTATCTCTGATATTGAACACTTTATCCCATAAATATAGCACATCTTAAAACTATATTTCTTCATATATATATATATATATATATATTATCGACCTCATGGCTATTTGATGGCCATCTTTGTATGATTAATTGGTAACCACGATAGATAGATAGATAGATAGATAGATAGATAGATAGATAGATAGATAGATAGATAGATTTCTAAAGAGTTAAAAATTATTTTTAATCCGATATATTTAAAATCCGATAATTCAAACGTTATTATAGAGGATACTCGTATTTGAAAAAGACGCCCATTTTTTATTTTATACACACTTTTATTAGAGTTTCGTCAGAAATTGAGATAGAAATTAAAAGAGCAAAAAGACAAGGAGCACTTGTATTCTATGATCTGGTTAGCTCCTATTGGTCCGATACGTGTCACGTGCATTAACGATATAGGTAATAATAAAATATGTATGGGAGAACATTTTGGGCGTTAATGTGTGTAATTGTGCATGAATGTGTATGAAAGGAAACGCTTGCATATCTAGGTGTATGTTGGACGGTAACGTTAATTCATATAAGTGTGTGTGTGTGTGTGTGTGTGTGTGTGTGTGTGTGTGTGTGTGTGTGTGTGTGTGAGGAAAGTCTATAGATGTCCCCCTCAAATATCGGGGAAAATATAGCGGAATGTTGCAAAAATTTGTATTGGTTGGATTTTTAAGTTCTCATATATGTGCGGGGGGGGTGACAGTTGTCGTCACGTCTGTGTGGGTCGGTGAAACTCGTCAGTATTGTAATTATCCTGTTTTGGTTGGATTTATCATTAAAGTATTTCTTATGTGTATATTTTGAAAAGAAATTGTATATTTTCATTATTTTATGCATGAGACATGAGTTAGATTCATGAATAATGGATCTGTAGAAAGATGATGACTTGATATAATGTTTAAAGCAAGTATTTATAGTTGATAATAATTCTATGAATATATTTTAATATCTCTTTAAAGGGTTATATTACATTTTGTTTTTTTTTAATTAGGCTAGTGAAATCAAAGTTATGTCCCATGTCGTTTCGATGCAAGACGAGATAGTTAGAATGTCTGTCTAAACACAAGTCTCTCTTGTGTTCATACATACGGATTTCTAGATCACGTGATGTCTTCTCTACGTTTTTGCGCTGTAGACAGTTTATCTGATACATTCAGGCATTTAAGGTGTTTGGCCAATTTTCACTTCCTCATTATATCTCCGACTATCTTGGAGGTGGTTGGTAACGATCCTAGTGTTAGGGATGGCTATTTCGTTTGTGTATTTAGTTGAAAGGGCAAGGTTATGAATTTTGTATAATTTTTGGAAGTCTCTATTTTTTGGCTATATGGATTTTGCGAGATCTTTCTTTTATTTAAAGAAAGGTTAACTTTATTCAAGAAAATCGTCACTGGCTTCAACCACTGTCTCCAGACAGCTTCAGAATCTCCAGCATCTTTTCTGGACTCTAAATTTGTTTCAGTTGGTGAATGCTGCCATAATCCTTGCCTTCAGGTCATCTTTGGTGTTACAAGGAGTTTTGTTGGTCTCTCAGTCAACTGCGCCTCACGAATAAAAATCAAGCGGGGTGCAGTCTGGGGTGTTAGGTGGCCAGATGTAAGGGGTGATGTGGTCGAAGAAATTGTCTAACAGCTATGACTGAGTTCTGCTTGTGTAGCATGGTGTAGAGTTCTGTTGCCAGACATAAGATTTTCCAGTAGTCACCCTCTTGACCATGGCAGCACTACCTACTCAAGGCACTTGATGTAGGCCTCCCTATTGAGTCTGAATACTCACCAACAAATTCGGGAGTTCTTTTCTTATCAGAAATCAGAGTGGCTTTTCTGAGCTGCCGTACCTTCGTAATCACCATTAGATTTATCTATCTCAAGCAGTACAGCATGCCGTTTCCAAATTTCTGGCGAATTGCGTCATGGTGCTCTTTTTCTCACAGACGGTACCCAAATGGCACTACTAGACTGTGCAGTCGACAAAATCAAAAACAACACGCTATGCGCGAAATTAAAAATATAAAATGTCGTCAATTTACTCATCGAAATACACACACACACAGACACACACACACACACACAGAGACACACACACACACACACATATATATATATATATATATATATATATATATATATATATATATATAAGGCTCAAACATTAATATTCCATGGTTATAATTTATTTCATTGGAATCGTAATCACGATCCAATTCATCAGACCTACAAATTCAAAAGTTTTTGAATTTGTAGGTCTAATGAACTGATCCCCTTGGGAATTTATATATATATATATATATATATATATATATATATATATATATATATTGACCACTAATATTATCAATATATATATATATATATACATAGCGGTTACCAATTAGCTGTACAAAGATGACTATCAAATTGGCCATGACCCATGACAGATGAGATGCTTTCTCCCTATTCTTGGCGTTTTGTATTTTCATTCTAGTTCCTTAATTGCTAGTACAGTTGTAACTTAATTTTACTGTATTTCTATAAAAAAAAATCTTGTACAGCTTGGAACTCTAAGGAAAGTGCTTATCAAACAACTTGAAAAATATCTTCCCTGTGTTAGATTTTAGCTCTAAATTAAAGAGTGGGGACAAACCAAATAATGCTTCTTTTTCTTCTTTCATTCCTCATTTGTTGATTCGTTTAGGGTCTGAATTCCAGCTTAGTGTTATGCCCCTTCTCTTTTAACGCCTTTTCAGACGCCATCTTTTCTTTCTTTTCATTAAAAATGACTCTACAAGAAGAATTTCTGAATTTTTTAGAGATGTGCTTGATTAGATTCGCAGGGTGATTGGATCCAGCGTTCACATAACGCAATTTTTTGTTGGGTTTTATGGAAGGCGAGACGCTGCCGGTTTGAAGATTTAATTCTACATCGAAATATTGGACGATTTTTTTGTTCAAATATATGACCTTTTTACTTTTTGTAAAATAATTGATTTCCTGTATGAAGCTTTTGTTAAAAAATACTGAAGGGTTCAGTTCTGTTTATTTTTTTAAATGTCACCTAAGCAAGAAATTTCTAAAATCTTATCGTAATACTATAACTTTCTGGAGCTTTCTAGAACTTCCCAGGGCATGCTAGAACTTATTTTTGTTTATTTGTACGTTTGTATGTTATGCTATGCCTACAAACTGTTAAATGTATTAAAATACATTAGTACTATCCAATTACATCATTAACAAATTGAAAAATAAAGTTTCTGAAAATATCATTTTCTACCATTATTGCGTATATGGTAAAATTGATTTTTCGGTTTATGATAGCCTTTTTCAAACAAATTAATGCCTTTTTCATTACTTTTGTGCAAAAGTTCATCGACATTGGAGCATAGAGTTATAAAACGTCATAACTTTATATATATATATATATATATATATATATATATATATATATATATATATATATAAAAGACATTTTTATACGTTTTTTTATAGATACAAATATTTGAGTAAATGCTCTGTTTATAATAAAAAGTATTAACGACATTTACCGGCCTGAATGTCGTTAATACTGTTTATTATAAACAGAGCATTTACTTAAATATTTGTATCTATAAAAGAACGTATAAACATAAAAAAAATAAAAAATGTCTTAAAATAATCATCGGACCTTGTCCAGTTCATATATATATATATATATATATATATATATATATATATATATATTATAAATTAATTGATTTAAAATATGGTTTTTTCATACACAGTTCTAAATCAATTAATTTATAATATAATGCTCTGTAAATTTACATTGAGCAGTATTTTGTAAAATAAAAATATCTATAAGAACACCGGATTATATATCTTGCTGTTCTTTCTTTATATATATATATATATATATATATATATATATATATATATATATATTGAAGAGCGAAATTTTCAACTTCCTTTTTACATTTACATAAAATATAAGTACACAAGTAAATAACTCATAACCCGCTCCGACCACGGATAAAAGTGTGGGGACCCTGCCCACCCATATTGGTGTACGCATTCAGGGTAGTATATAAGTCACTGTGCTAGCATGTCGGGGAAGTGTGTGCAAATAGTCCGGTGTGCAGGACCCGAGCCAAATAAATGTTATTGACTTGTATAGACTGACGAGATTAATAGTGTAACTTGAATCGCTTGCAAGCTTTTGATTATTTATATTTTATAAGACATTTTTTATTACTCTCCATGTTTTTACGAAGTCCACTGAAAATTGCGGTGAAACAGTGAAGTCTTATTGTTTCGTTAAAGTATTTTCTTTTGTTGCCAATATACAGGGTGTGAGTGCTATTTGAGGACATATTGTTTTAAGTTCACCACGCACTCAAATCATTTATAATATTATTTTTTTTAATTCAGATTACCCAATCAGAGAAAGATGTTAACCCAAGAAATGAAAAGATACGCAGTCATTGTTGCTTTAGCTGCAAAACATAGAGATTTAAAATCAGTAACTTTTTACATGTTGCCAGATTATTTGTTCATAAGGTTCGGTTGGAGCTAGAGGGATGTGATGGCAATGTTTCCCCTGTAGCAAAAAGAAATAAGCATTCACAGCGCTCGGATACCTTGAGAACACCAGAATTTATACGGAATGTTCAAAACATCATCGATGGGAACCCCGGGAAGATCAGTGAGGTTCATCGCCAAAGAACTCCAGGTATCAGAGTGGACTATCAGAACCGTGGTACATCAGGACATTCGATATAAGTCATATGTAATGAGGAAAGGCCAATTCATATCGGCGAAGACACAGGAAAACCGTCTCATGCGTTCAAAACGGTTGCTGAACAAAGTGAAAAATCCCCACGAACATGGCATGCTTTGGTTTTTCTCTCTCGAAAAAAACTTTGACCAAGATCAGAAAACAATCAGACGGAATGACAGATGGCTATATGCATCTCCTTCTGAAGTACTCAGGGTGATGCACACCAAATATCCGGCTACTGTGATGGTTTTAGGAGTTGTGAACAGTGAAGGTCATGTCATGCCACCTTACATTTTCCCACAAGGTCTTAGGATCAATGCTGCTGGATACATTAATGTTCTTAAAACAGTTATTAAGCCCCGGATAAATAAAGTATGCAGTAGAAGGCCATATGTCTTTCAACAAGACTCTGCACCTTCTCACAAAGTCATTTAATCCAGGATTGGTTATCAAAGAATTTTTACGATCATGTGACCCCAACATGAGGCCCCCTAACTCATCAGATTTAAATCCTATGGACTATTTCGTGTGAAGCGTCGTTGAAAGGGAGATTAATCGACATCCTCATAGTACCATAGCTACACTGAAGGCGCCATTGTCCAGGTGATGTCCAAAATGAATTGCAGCTTGTGGATGGTTTCGAGCCCGAATAGAAGCAGTCATTAAAGCCAAAGTTGGTTTCATAGAATAATTAGATAAAGAAGTATCATGAAGGATATTTGTGTCAATTTGAATCAAATATATACATTGTTTGCTAAGATATTGCTGTTTATTTAACATACTAAAATGTCCTCAAATAGCACGCGCACCCTGAATATATATGTGTATGTGTGTGTGTGTGTGTGTGTGTGTGTGTGTGTAAAAATCCATGGGTAAGTAATCCAAGTGAATCCTAATAATATAAAATATTAATAATGATCCACAAAAGAGAGCTCAATATATTTATTATAGAGCATAGAAATGAATTATATAAACATGAAATTGAATTGTACGCCATTTTGATGGTCATTTCGCTCCCCGGGATAAATTCCCTGGAGCTTGTCAATAATTAAACGTTTATATATAGGGTGTATCAAAAATATTTTTCCAAACTTTGGTGGACAGGTTCCTCACACCAAAGCAAGGACAAAAGTCCATATAAGCATACGTCCGCAAATCATTTCGTTTTCGAGTTATTATGTTTAAAGAAGGCCTCGGGTCTATTACCATTCGCGCGGCCGTATGCAAAAATCATATATGCCTGCTCACGATATGAATATATCCTGCCATTGTTAAACAGAACACTTCTCAGTTAATTCACTACTCCACACGTTAAACCTTGAAGACAGACAAGCCACAAATGTACACGAATGACAAATCTAATCTAGTCTATATGGCAACACAGCGCCATCTACCGTAATCTTTCTTTAAACTTAATAACTCAAAAACGAAGGATTTGAAGACATGTTTGTATGGGTTTTTGTATCTTGTTTTGATGTGAGGAACCCGCCCCAAGGGTTTGGAAAACTATTTTTGATACACCCAGTACATATATATTAAGACATTTTTATGCTTATACATTCTTTTTATAGATACAAATATTTAAGTAAATGCTCTGTTTATAATAAACAGTATTAACAACATTTACCGGCCTGAATGTCCGAGAAATATTCATAGAATATATTCATAGAAAATATTCGTCCTCCGACAGGAATCGAACCTGTATCCTATACAGGACCGTCATATAGACTGACGCGCCTTCATACATACATACATACATATATACATATATATATATATATATACATACATATAGTAATTAGTAGGAGGATTTGATAATTACATTTAATTAATTCATCGAGTCTGATAGAAACCTCAACAGAATGCACTGGATGGCCGTTTCGTCCTATATTTGGGACTCATTATCAGTGCGCATCCACTACCGTGAATTGAAACCCTGACAGTTAGGTTGTCAAGCGAACATCATACTAACTGTTCCAAATTGGCCTCGGTGACGAAGAGATTGCAAATCAGACTCAGCATAGCGCCGCGGTAGCGGCTTGGTGAGAGTAGTCGTGGCTCCAGGGGGCACAGTCCTATGGTTACAGAGAACTCAGTAGAGTTCCGCCACGGAATCTGTGAGCGAGCGGCGCTATGTTGAGTCTGATTTGGAATCTCTTCGTCACCGAGGCCCATTTGGAACTTGTTGGTTGGTATTATGTTCGCTTGACAACCTAACTGTCAGGGTTTCAATTCTCGGTAGTGGATGCGCACTGCTGATGAGTCCCAAATATAGGACGAAACGGCCGTCCCGTGCTTTCTGTATTCTGTTGAGGTTTCTATCAGACTCGATGAATTAAATATATATATATATATATATATGAAGGAGTTGAAAAGGAGCCAGGATTTCCTTCCGGTTTCTTCCGCGAGCATTGGCAGAGGAGGAGAATGTTTTTTATTCCCGTCGGAGTAGATTGCTGCAGATGTAGTATCTGTTCCATGCCAAAGACCTTCTCTCCTCTCTTGTGCCCCCCCCCCACCACCGTTGCGTAACATCTGTTACGTAGCAGTGGTATGACCACTTAGACAAGTTTTGACCAGCTTAAACGAGCTAAGATCAGCATAGACTAGTGGCCCGAGTAGAAACACTCAGGTCTCCACGTTAAAAACCGACCTTGTGTCACAACATGACTCAGTGGGACGAGGGTGTTAAGATAAATCTTGGGCTAAATAAGAAGCCCTCCTCCTCCTCCTCTCTGTCTCTCTCTCTCTCTCTAGCACACACACACACACACACAAAACAAAAAAACATTTCGTCTTAGAACATCTATTATAACAGTAATGGGGTTATTTATCAAACGATGACTCCCGGTTCAGACATTGTTTCGTTGCTGTAACATTACTAAATGTAAGCATTGTTTACCTATTTTTCCTTGAGACTTTAATAATCCACTTATTTTAGGGAGGAGGTCTGACATTTCTTCAGTGCATGTAGTCAGTATATTTTTAGGCACTATTGACATAGTGGGGGGATGTGCTATCAGTTGAATCTACTCCTATAATGAAAATATGCGTCCGAAGAGACCTGTTTGATTACTAATAATTTAAATACAAATAACCAGAAAATCCTGCTTGTCGGCTTCATAACTGAACGCTTCGTGTTCTTTTTTAATGCCAAATACACGGTCAAGATATGTCGGCTGATGTTAACTATTTCAGACAGCAGAATCAATAGAACTATGTCTTGTCTGCTTGTCAAGTGACATTATTTCTCTCCTTTTACTCTCCTCTCTTTCTCTCTCTCTCTCTCTTTCCTTTCGATTTCTCTTCGATATAAATCTTTCATTCTCTTTTTCTCTTTTCTCTCCCTCCCTCCCTCTCTCTTTCTCTCTTTCTTCCCCACCCCTACCATTTTATTTCCTATTTCTTTCTCTGTAAGGCTAATTAGTTTAACACTCTCGTTTATGAGCCTGGCTCGTTAGATTGGAAGAGCCCGTTGTTGACAAGGAACAAACCAACTTCAAGATCAGCGTTGCGTTGATAATTTAAAAAAAACACTATTGGCAGACAAAGAAAGAAAGAAAGAAAGAAAGAAAGAAAGAAAGAAAGAAAGAAAAAAAGAAAGAAAGAAAGAGAGAGAGAAAGAACGAACGAACGAACGAACAAACGAAAGAAAGAAAGAAAGAAAGAAAGAAAGAATTGAATGTATTTGGGCAGCTACTCTTCATTTCTACAAATTTGATCAAAATGGTCCTATTTGTTAAAGACTTGAATTGCATATTTTTTTCTATATTACGGGACATTTTCCTGGTTTCCGGTAAGAGTTCAAATATAAATTCTCATGAAGGGATTGACATAGATAGACTAAGATAGATAGATAGATAGATAGATAGATAGATAGATAGATAGATAGATAGATAGATACGCAGACTAGAAATAGATAGATAGATAGATAGATAGATAGATAGATAGATAGATAGATGCATGCAGAGACTAAGATAGATAGATAGATAGATAGATAGATACGATCAGACTAAGATAGATAGATAGATAGATAGATAGATAGATAGATGAGATAGATAAGATAGATAGATAGATATAGATAGATACGAGCAGACTAAAATAGATAGATAGATAGATAGATATAGATAGATAGATGAAATAGATAGATAGATAGATAGATAGATAGATAGATAGAGATAGACTGAAATAGATGCGAGCATGAAATAGATAGATAGATAGATAGATAGATAGATAGATAGATAGATAGATAGATAGATATAAGTAGACTAAAATAGATTCAGCTGCGGAAAGGAATATAAAGGAGAGACAGGCCGCCCCCTCAAGGTAAGACTTCAAGAACACCAGAAAGCTGTAATGCGAGGGGACGTAGAAAAATCAGGCGTGGCTGACCACATATGGAGAGAGAAGGGAGATCACCACCCTCTGTGGGATCATGTTGAGATCATAGACAGGGAACACCATTGGAAAATTCGTAAACTTAAGGAATCAGCACATATGCTAGGCCACAAAAATCTCCTGAGCCGACCAAGCATAGAAATAAATACAATATGGGAACCAGTAATAAGGAGTGCCAGAGAAAAGCAATGATAACAAAGTTGCAATATGAACTCTGGTAAAAACATGCAATGATAACAGCAAAATTGCAATATGAGCACTGGTAAAAAAATGATGCTGAAAATATTAGGTTTATAATACTCAGAAGTTCATGCCCAGATGTCCTCAAGGACACATGGCACAGTGGATAAAGGCGTTGGTTAGATCCAGTGACAGACCCAAAGAAGTTGAGTTCAATACCTGGTTAAGGCAGAGGAGAATTTTCAGAGGGAAAATTAGCAGGAGATAACTGATAACTAACACCCATCAAAAAATAGATACATGGCACGTGGAACTAGAACAGTCTAACCCAGTGATCGAAATAAAGGGTTCAGTTCGAAATTTCAACCACCTGAAGAAGGCCGGAGCGTAGAACGGCCGAAACGTTGTGACAAATATGGCGACAAAGATGAGGACAATAGTCCGACTAATGTAAATACTGTACTGAAATAGATATTCTTTATTCGACCTCAATCGTAAAGTTAACGGCCAACCATAGTCTCTTATGAACTCCAGAATCCTTCTAAACTAGTTGCCAACCACGGCTAGAAACCCCAGTCTTCCATTTAACTTACTGCTTGGTGTAGGAGGGATATATTCATATCTTTCCTAAGCGTCTTCGTGCGAAAGTGAATATAATTTTTTTTAATAAAATACCATATCGCTTCCGACACACACTGTCCACAGACCCCGTTTCTTTGTTCCCTTTGAAACGCCATGAATCCATAACAAAGATAGTGGAATGGTTTCCTGATGTTTTCTTCGGCATTTTGTACTCACCCAAGCCCCGAGAGCCCAGTTTAGCCTTGCCTCAGGGACTTGTTAAAAGCTTTCCTCTCTCTCTCTCTCTCTCTATCTATCTATCTATCTATCTATCTATCTATCTATCTCACGATATGCCATTTATCTTCAGGTCGTGGGTCATCCTTTCCATCCACAGCTTCTTGACTTTTCTATTTTTTAGCAGTACTTTAAAACCCATAGCTGGTGGGGAGTGGGCAAGAGATAGTCATGACTTTTTCTAAAGAGATTCGGACGAAAGTAAAGGCAACTGACTAAGCTGGAATTCAAACCTGGTTTGCCAATTCTACTTTCCGCGCCTATGGCCGTCCCGCTCACCTGGAATTCGAACCTGGTTTCTGCCATTCATCTATCTTTCCGCTATCTATCTATCTCTCGCAGTCTGTTTATCCGCCCGTCCGTTTATCTCACCTCGCAGCCCATTGATCTATTCTATCTATCTATCTATCTATCTATCTATCTATCTTTCTATCTATCTCTCGCAGTCTGTTTATCTATCTATCTATCATCTCTCTCTCTTATCTGTTTATCTATCGCAGTGTTATCTGCCATGAACCTATCTATCTATTTTCATCTATCCTATCTGTTTATCTATCGCAGTCTGCTTATCTGCCACGGTATCTATCCTATCTATCTATCTATCTATCTATCTATCTATCTATCATCTATCTATCTATCTATCGCAGTCTCTGCCACAGTATGCTTATCTGTTTATCTATCGCAGTCTCTATCTATCTATCTATCTATCTATCTATCTTTCTGTTTATCTATCGCAGTCTGCTTATCTATCTATGTCTGCCTATCTATCTATCTATCTATCTATCTATCTATCTATCTATCTATCTCGCAGTCTGTTTATCTATCGCAGTCTGCTTATCTGCCACGGTATGCTTATCTGCCTATCTGTCGCAGCCTATCTATCTATCTATCTATCTATCTATCTATCTATCGCAGTCTGCTTATCGCAGTCTGCTTTTATATCTGGATGTCTATCTATCTATCTATCTAAATCTATCTATCTATCTCTCGCAGTTTTTAATCGTTGCCAAAATCTGTCGCAGCCTATTCATCTATCTATTTTATCTATCTATTCTATCTATCGCAGTCTGTTTACCCTGCTTATCTGAGCCCTGTCGCAGCACTGCTTTATCCGGTCTATCTATCGCAGTCTGCTTTTATAGGATGTTAAGAAAAAATATTTAATGTTGCAAAACTTAGATTTTAACCCTTTGAGCCCTGAGCACCACCGGTTGAACAAATGACATTATGCCCAACCACCGGTTGAACAGTGGTAGAGTGTGGTAACCTAGAAAGGGTTACTGTTCGAGAAATAACCAAAGCGTAGGTTCGAAATGGTTATCTTTATAACATCAACAAAACACGATACTCGCCAGCGGCGTGAAGTAGGTAAACCACTTCTAGTGGTGGACTACTTAGACATCATATTACCCAACTCACAATAGTGTCCAACGTATCTAAGAGGATTGGGACATACCCATTAATGTTCATAGGCACGCTATATAAAAGTTTCCTAGAAATTTCAAATGTAGTGTTCTTTTGTTCCAATTTTCCTGAAAACTTCCTTGTCGCTCACATGTCGGTTCCATGGTATTCTCACAGTCATTCCTTATAGTAACGCATATTGACACCACCTACAATAGTGTCCAACGTATTTATACCATTTCATAGGTACGGTATATAACATAGAGAAAAATGACTTCATGTTCAGCCACAGTTTAAACGGTGGGTAAACACTTGTAACTATTTTTATATCTATCGTTTTAACATTACATACCAATTATTTGTGAATTTTGACTCAGGAGCTCAGGCAGAAAGGGTTAAAATTGTTCAGAAACGCGGGGCTCACGAGGTTAAATCGTGATAGCTTCTTCCGAGCATTCGAACCCCCAACTAATTTCACAAACAGCCGAAGTGCTCCGTTCCAAGTCTGAAGTACAACTATAAATAGATATACAGAATCGTACTTTTTCTTTTTAATACTTTCACCTCCAGGAAGGTAATAAAGCCACTAAACCGCAAGTGGGTTACCAGGAGCGAAAGAGAATAAGAAGACTAGTGAGAAGAAAAGAACAATAAAAGAACAGCTTCCAAGACGACTGAAGATAACGACTGGTGTTGCATTTAAAATTTTCGGCGGCAGAGAAGCAAAATATCGGAAGAGACTTCCACAGGCGAGAAGTGCGAGAAAAGAAACTATTAGAATAGAACTTACGGTTGTACCTTGCTAGTAAAACAGTAATAATGAAACACCGGCTCCCGTACGACCACGGAAGGTAAGCAACATCGAAACTGGTCAATGCCTAGATGGGTGACCGCTTGGGAATACCAGGTGCTGTAATCATGAATATACGGGTTGTATAATGGATAATGATTCGGAATTGTTAATCGGAGAGCCGAGTTCTAATTTTAGTTGCTTTCGTTTTAGTCACTTACGCGCAAATGCCATTGAGAAAGGTGTGAATTAGTAGCTCCTCAGCCCACACCTATGGGTTAATTAGTAAGACTTGTATCGGTAAATCATTATTATCTCCCTTAAAAACAACTTACAATCTAAAAATATTTCATGGCTTTAAATAACCTGCAAAGGTTGATAAACCGTAAAAAACGAATCAATTAAAAAACGATGGGACCTAATGGCCAATATAGTAGTCGAGGTATGAAGGGGGAGAGCGATATTTAATTATATAAAAAATACAAAATGTGGGACAAGGCCAAAATGGGGAATGGGGGAAAAGGTTGGTCTTCTTCAGTTTTATAATTAAACTTAGCTAGCCACAATCACTGACCTATAAATATACTACAATATTCCTTACACTAAAACTACGCATTCATACTTACCATTCTTACACTCACCATAATACCACAGAGTCTCTATGAAGTGCTAAGTATTCCCCTATGTACAATTCTGTGGGGGCAGAAAGGAGAATATAACAACAATTCAAACTCGTTAGAACAGTTGGCATGGAAATATTTATGGAAAAGGCAGAGGGAAGCCACGTATTTTTATCTTTTCTTTTTCTTCTTCCCTTTCATCCGCGTCTGTTTTCTGAGAACTAATTTCTCGTGACGTGAGAATGGCACACGAATGGTTAATTTTTGCGGGCACTTTCTCTCCTTAATTGATATTTAGGCAAAATTTTCAACGCCTCTTCTCAGTGGATCACCCAAGTTTAACATGAATTTGTTTTATGATCGCAGAAACCTTACTAAGTAGTCTACAAAATGTTTTCCCAATTTTAACAAATGAAGAACCTTCCTTCCACGTGGCGTGTCCCTTAAATGAAGTGAGAGATCATGGCTCTCCTTAACGTCCTATCGTTTGAAGCTCTTAGCAATATCTGACCTTCTTATGATCACTTCCGTCTTTCTTCTGCCATACAAACACCTTAGGGGGAGTTGTTTACTCTGTCCTCTTGCCCCCGTTGCTTTCAATATGTCCAGAGAGCGTCAAATTCTCTAAGCCTTCTTTCTTCATAATGTGCCCTAGAAATTTCGAAGTCTTTTTTTTCTCATTATTTTAAGTACAGTAGAATCCTTTATATCCGGAATGCCTCATATCCAGAGTGCCTCATATCTGGAATACCTCATATCCGGAATCATGCATATCTAGACATGTTTTTGATGGGTATATTTGAACTATTTGAGAGACGGATTTGAAATTTCTGTTTTTCAGGAAATTTACTTTGGATAATCGCTTATGCTTATTTCACCCTAATGGCTTGTATTGGTGCAAAAGATGATGGGAATAAGAGGAAAGGATGACAAGGAGACACATCTGCAACAAGATAGCGATGAAATGCATGATTTGATGGAACCTGGACTGAAATTTTAAAAAAGCTATTGAAAAGTTTTATGGAAAGAAAGCCAGCATTCAGCTATGACGATTGCAATAACGCACGCAGAGTTTTTAAAAAAAAGTGTCTTTTCGTTTAAAAAATGTCAAGAACAAAAACAAAAAGGAAATGCGGGAAAAGTTGAGAATGACATTAGAAGAGAAAGAATCATCATGCAACAGCGATTAAAAAATCCTTGTTACATTATTTGTTTTGCATAAGTGGCATACTTAATTTAATGAATTTTTATTAACATTACATAATTTATTTCTTTTTCCTTAAATTCAATTCCGTTATATTTCACTCACCATTAGATAATTTTGTTTACTATAAAACATTGAAAATAAATGTTAAACCTGATTTCAGTTCTTTTATTTTAATCTAAATATAACCCCTCATATCCGGACTTTGTAACCAATTCCTCATATCCGGAAAGCCTTCTTAGTCCGATTGTCAGGGATTCTACTGTATAAGCTTACTTTAAGTTTCCATTTCTCTTAAGGTATTCTCAGCATTTTTCTGCAGAAACACATTTCTGTTACTTCAAGTCTATTCTTCATCCGTTAGAAGATTTTCCAAAATTCACTGCCATATAGGAGGATTGATATTGCAGAACAGTTCAGTGTTCTTTCCTGTTTTTTTCTAACGAAATTTTTCTGTTTCTTTATACTTTACTTAGTTTTTCGAAGACATCTTTCACTATCCCAACGCGACTTCGGATTTTGGTGTCGCAATGTCTTTCCTCTGTTAAAACTCTTCGAAGATATTTTTGTAATTGCTTGATTTTGATGTCTCCAATTCGTTTCGCATCTCGAACTGTTTTTTGTGCTGACAAACATACATTCTGTCTGTTTTACAACTGACACTTAGTCCTTTCTTCTCGCTTTCTCATCTTTAAAAAAAACATCCTGTTATTTCCTTTTTGTGTCCGCCATCTCTCTTGTCTCAAATCTTTTCTTCATCTTAATTTTCTGTCTACTGAGTTTGTCCATCTTCCTCTCCAAACGGCGAATGATTCTTCGAAATTTCCACATTTTTTATACCGGCTGCAGCCAATCTTTCGACTCTAGTGGGCCATCCTCAGGGATGTGTTATTAAGAGTATTATGTGAAAAACGGTAATAGTCGGAATTAGCCCATTTAGTGTAATGCTATATTTAAATTTAATAGAAGAAATCCAAAACACAGAAAGTCTACCGACTGAGTAACCCCACTGGAGAGTGTGTTAGGATTTAACATATAGAACCACCTTTTACGAATGTACCTTATTGCAAGCTTATGACAGAAGCAAATTGGAATATTCTTTAATCGAAAACAGTTGCTGAAGATGCGTGGGAAAGATCAGAAAAGTTGGATTTTGCTTGAAGGGCTGCACTATAAACAGGTCCTGTCGACTTTTGTCTGAAATCCATAGAAGCAGTGGTATTATCGTTGAAGAATTGGATTTTTTAAAAAAATGGAATCCACCGTCATCTACAACTAATTGAAAAGATGCTGAACTTCCCAAAATGGCTGCCTTGTGAACAGACAGAAATCAAAATGGATGCCTCGTGATCAAACAGATATTGAACTGGATGCTTCGTGATCAGACAGAAATCAAAATGGATGACTCGTGATCAGACAGAAATCAAAATGGATGCCTCGTAATCAGACAGAAATCAAAATGGATGCCTCGTGATCAGATAGAAATCAAAAGGGATGCCTCGTGATCAGACAGAAATCAAAATGGATGCCTCGTGATCAGAAATCAAAATGGATGCCTCGTGACCAGACAGAAACCAACCGTAAGGCAAGAAATTTCTACTCTTTTGTAAACTTATCTCATTATTTTCAGACAAATAAGTGGCTACTGATAAAAAGATGAATATTTTAGAAGAATATAAAACCGTGCAAACAATGGCTTAATTGGCTGAATCACAAATAAATAATGAACCAACATCTAAGGAATGACTTCTTAAGAATATTGATGCGAACCAATTTCAATTGATACTTTTGAATGTTACGATGGTAACATGTATGTCTTTCCATCATCACCGAGCAGCCTCTGAAATTCCGTCTATTGCAATTCACGGGTGTTCCCTCAAGGAGGTTCCTTGCCTTGAACGCCTCAGTTGGAATTGGAATATACGACCCATCGCTAAAGTAGCGTGGAAAATGATCACTTCCATGCATTACGCCAGTAAGTACCTGACTCCTCTTGCTACGCTCTACATTTGCATGAGCCAGATTAGACCGGAAATGGAATAGTGCTGCCGTATCTGTGTTGGTGGTGGGGATTAGAGCTGCCCAGTCTTCCCTTTCCAGTCTTGATTGAGTCCAAAAGCGTCTACATGAACTTCTGGGGTAACGATTAGTTTCCCACCTTACAACCCCTTTCTCACAGGCGAAATGTCGCTACTCTATCGCTATTTCCATGGAAAGTGCTCAAACGATCTATATTCTATTGTTCCACCATATCTAACCCACCACGTCGCGTACATTGAGGCAAACCAAACTCATCCCCTTTGTATTCCATTAGTAAGGAGTAAGTTCTACTTGGATAATTTCTTCCCAAGAATTATTGCTTTGTGGAAGATTTCTGCCGTTTCTTTCTGCGTTAGACTGGTTGCCAACCAAGGCTAAAGGACCCAGCCTTCTATTAAAACCACAGCTATGGGAGGGGAGAAAAGAGGTGGATTAATCCATTTCCCAAGAGGATTTGCGCGTAAAGGAATTGTCGAACAATCACGTGGTCAAGATAAACACTCAGTTGTGGAGCAAGCTGAGTGAAGAATAATTCAACATTGAGGAAGAGAGTTATTTATGATGCAATGGAGCATCTCATTATGCTAAAGTGGGATAGTCCATTGCTTGGGCTGTGATTGGCTGCTGGTACCTGATTGGAAGTATTTCTATATAAATACCAGCTTAATTTCTCAGTTAGTTTGCAGGGTTTGTATTAAGTTACAACCTGCTTTATTTTTGTCTGCCAGCTGGACGCTAGCTGGAACTCTTACGCCGGTAAGTGTCGTTTATTGTATTGTTATTCTACATCTCCTTCCCCCCATCGCGTGTTGGTAGTGGCCTTTGGGGAGGGATTTGTTCCTTTAAACCTGGCTGGTTGTGTGGAAGTAGTCTGGACAATGCCCGAGGGGTTTTTGTCCTTGTTATTGTAGACGGCTGAGCAGTGTTTGATGGTATTCCAGCGTCGAATGTTTGTGGCAATGGTGTAGGGATCTCAGGTAAGGCACTAGGTCTTGGAACTGGAATTGTTGGTGTATCCAGTTTCCTGAGAAATCGGCGATTTCGTAAGGTAATTCTACCTGATCCGTCAACTCTGATACGGTATTGGTGGTTGGGGAGGATTTCAATGACCTGACCTGTTGTGTCCCATCGACGGGTTGTTGGTCTTTGTAGTGCCACTATTTGTCCTTTTTGAAGGGGGTTTAAAGTGTGTGCTGTTCTGTTGTATCTCTCTATGAGACGAGCGTTCCGCCGGGACAGACTTATCTCACGATTTTGGGCTGC